TCGGAGGAAGACGGAGACTCGGAGGCGGAGCGTGAGACGCGGCGCGTGACGGCCGTGGCGGTGATGGCTGCCGAGCCGGGGCACATGGACATGGGCGCCGAGGCCCTGCCTGGTCCCGACGAGGCCGCCGCCGCCGCCGCCTTCGCAGGTGAGTGCCCGTCCTCGCTCTCGCCCCCTGCGTGACCAGCTCCGCATACTTGCACCTGCGCGACCAGCGCTGACCCTCCTACTTGCTCTCCCGCTCTACACACCTGTCCTGCATGACAAGCCCCGCCCCCTTTTGCGTGCACACCTGCCCCGAACAACGGTACACACTTGCTTCGAGTAACCAGCCTCGTCTGCATGTTGCACACATGCCGTACACGCCTGTCCTGTAAACCTGCCCCACATGACCAGCCCCTAGCCCTCCTGCCTGCACACCTGTCCCGTGCACCTGCACCTGCCCGCACACCTGTCAAGCCTAAGTGGTTGCCACTTTCCTTGTATTCCTGTCTCGCTTGAACAGCTTCATCTCCTCTTGCTCTCTCATCTGTCTGGCACGATCCTTCCAATCCCCTCGTGTAGGCACACCTATCTCCAGTGACCAACCGACCCTGCCCTGCCCCACACACCTGCCTTCATCCCTGCACTGTGTAACCAGCTAGGCCCCTTCCCGCCTGTACACCGGGCACCTCTTCCCTTTGTGTCCTAGCCCTGCCCCTCCTATCTGACCCTTCTGTGCCTATTCTGGAACCTTCTCAACACCAGGCCTAGCCCTACCCACCTTCTCCTCCGTGCATCCTAGGTGGTGGTGACACAGGAGGGGCAGGTGTGGGTTCTGCCCTGGAGGAGTCCGAGGGTGGATGAGGGGTAGGGGCTTGTCAGTGGTTGTCTGGAACGTCCAGGGGCCAAGGGCAGGGCAGGTGGGACCGTGTGCACTCTGAGGAACTGCCTCCTGTCCCACCAGTGAGAAGTTCTCACCAGTAGGGAGTCCCCGAGTGAGTGTCACAGCCCTTCTGGTGGAGCAGGGCCAGCGTGTGTTGGGTGGGTGATCAGCACTCAGCACTCGAGTGCCATTGGCTCCTATGGGAGCGAGCCACCTGGCCGGCTGCTGCCCCAGAGGCACTGTCCTCATTGGGAACTCTGCTGGCTCTACACCTGGACAGCAGCCGTTGGTCCTGGCCCCGGCTTGGGGCTGAGCTGCTGTGGGTGAGTATGTTCACCGTCAGGGATATGCTCAGCCCTGTGCTGGGCCTGACCCACCCAGCGCCTCTGGTCAGTGTGAGGCTTGGGGAAGAGCTCTCATGACCTTGAGTGAAGGATCACATATCTCCCAGGTGTAAATAATTTCAAGGACACTGCCTCAGACTTCGCCCACTGCCCACCCCTGGCTTGCTCAGGTGCCATCCTGGTGGGCTGGAGCTTGGTACTGCCCATGAGGTAAGGTAGCTGACAGTGGCCCTGGTTCCCCTGCACCTGCATCTGGCCGTGGGGCACAGGCCAACGGGTAGTTTCAGCAGAGCTCGATGAGTGTAGGGTTAGTAGCACTTGCAGGATGCCGTTAGCCAGTGTGTTTCCAGCACTCACGCTGTATCGTGCCCTTCTGGGCATGGAGCATTCTAGAATGGCGGCCTGGAGGCAGGAGGACAGGCTTCCCAAAGGGGCCTGAGCCCAGAGCTGGATACTCTGGGAGGAGGCAGTGCAGGTGAGGGAGGCTGGAGCGGCCGCTGTATAGGATCCTGGTGGCTGAGCCACCCAGTCTGGCTGGGGTAGGAAGCGTGAAGGGAGCATGGCAGGAGGTAGAGGGCTGCTGCTCCCTTCCCTGGCCTGGTGGGCGTGGGGGATCTGCTGGGAGTGTCCTGAGTGAGTAAGTCTAGCTGTCCCACTGGGCAGGAAGTGGTCCTCACCCAGAGCTGAGTGGCGAAGGACACCATACTCACCTGTAGGGCTCACAGGCCGTTTGCAGTTGGATTTTTGAGGAAGGGGAGAGAAGGCAAGTGGTGGTGGGGGGAGCCTTGTTGGGGAGACAGCTCTATCTTCCTCCTGGAGCAGCTCCCCTAGATCTCAGTGCAGAAGGTGACTGCCATGTTGGTGTCAGGGGAGGGTTTGCCATTGAAGGCACTCGTGCCTGGGGGGGGCTGGGTTTACTCCTCACAGCTGTTGGTGCTGTGGCCTCCTGGCTTCAGTCATGCACTGAGTTGGATGTGTTCTGCTGCAGAGGTGACCACGGTGACGGTAGCCAACGTGGGTGCGTCCGCGGACAACGTCTTCACTACGTCTGTGGCGAACGCAGCGTCCATCTCAGGACACGTTTTGGTAAGATGCAGCTGAGGGCTTGCCCCTGTGGCTCTGAGTGCCTTCTCAAGCTGGTGGATCTGGGGCCCCTGGACAGACTCACCCGGGGGCAGTAGAATCTCATACGTCTGCTTCTACTGTGGCTTGGCCTGATGGCGCCTGGCAGAGTCCAATGCTCTCTGCTTCTGGAACCTTCTCAGCTGGGCTTAGAGGGCAGCCTGCTAAGGTAGAACTGTGTGTGGTTTGAGTTTGGCAAAGGCTTTTCATTGCTTGGTTTCCTTGGTGAGGGGAAGTGCATGTGACAGATGCATGGCTTCTGGGGTAGAGGAGCCAGAAGGGCCTCTGAGGCATGCAACTAGGGTGGCAATTTTTTTTTTTTTTTAGTTGTGATTTGGGTGAAAGTTTACAGAGAAAATTCACTTTCCATACAGCAGTTCACATACACTTTGTCTCATGACATTGACTACAATTTACCCCAATGCAACAGCTCCCCTCCCACTTCTTTCCGATAGTTACCTCCTCCCTGTGTCCATCCCTCCATGCATTCCTGCCCCCGGAGCTGTGTTCCTGTGCATACACAGCCCTTCTATTCTCTCATGATTGATCTCTACAAGGAGTATATCTACCTCAGGTAAATGTTCACTTCATATGCCTGTGTTTTGTTTAGCTGGAAGCTACAGGAGTGGGTTCAATTCCAGACCTGAAGGGCGGCTGGGGCCATAGTCTCAGTGGTTCCATCAGGCTCTATCAGACCAGCCAACCTGGTCCCTTTTTTTCCCAGTGGTTTTGAGTTTTGTTCCGCATTGCTCTCCTTCTCTATCCTGGATCTCTTACATAGATCCGCCTCTGAGTGGTTGACAGAGGTAGCTGGGCACCATCTAGTTCCTCTGGTCTCATATAGGCTGAGGATTGCATGGTGTGTCTTGGACTAATTGTTTCCATGAATCTTTGGTTTTCTTCATTCTTCTTTGCTCTGGATGAAGAGAGACCCATTGTTGTATCTAGATGGCTGCTTGCAAGCTTTTAAGATCTCGGTCACTACTCGCCAAAGTAGGAAGTGGAACAGTGTTTTGTGTGGTATGTTATGCCAATTGAGCTTGATGTCCCCTGCGACTATGGTCCCAAGCCCACAGGTTCAACTACTCAGTCTCTCTGGGTAGCTGGCTGTGACCAAGAAGCGACTACAACCTTGACCCTTGTCAGCCCTACTGTACGCCTGGGAATTCTTACAGATCATACAAATACACTTATAGGACCATTGTTGGCCAGCTCTATACATGGTCTTGGGTACACTCCCCCACTGCATAGACATACCTAATAGTTCAGCCTGTTAGGGTGGCACTTCTTTTTTTTTTTTCAAATTTTTTATTTTTATTAGGATTTGGGTGAAGATTTACAGAGTAAATTCACTTTTCATACAGCAGTTCACATATACTTTGTCTCATGTCATTGACCAAAATTTACAATGCAGCAACTCCCCTCCCACTTCCTCCCCATAGTTACCTCCTCCCAGTGTCCATCCCTTCATACTCTTCTGCACCCTGAGCTATCTCCCTGTGCATAAGCAGCCCTTCCTTCTCCCATGATTGTTCTCTCCAGGGCGTGTGTCTCCTTGAGGTAAATGTTTAACTCACATGCCTGTACTTTGTTTGGCTGGAAACCACAGTTGTGGGTTCAATTCCAGACCTGAAGGGCAGCTAGGGGCCATAGTCTCAATGGTTACACCAGGCTCCATTGGACCAGCAAACCTGGTACCCACCTTCTTTTTTTTTTTTTTTTGCCTCCAAATGATTTTGAGTTTTGTACCACATTGTTCTCCCTCTTTATGCAGGATCTCCTACATCCCTTCCAAGTGGATGGCAGTGGTAGCTGGGCACCATCTAGTTCTTCTGGTCTCATAGTTGTATAGGTTGCAGATCAGATGGTGTACCAGTCGCTAGGACTGATTGTTTCCATTAATTTTGGTTTTCTTCTTTCTTCTTGACGAGGAGAGACCCATCGTTTCATCTAGATGGCAGCTTGCTAGCTTTTAAGATCCCAGTCGCTACTCGCCAAAGTAGGAAGTGGAACAATGTTTTGTATAGTATGTTATGCCAATTGAGCTTGATGTCTAGGGTGGCACTTCTGCTGCCATTGCCAGGCAGCCTTGTACTGTCTGAGTGTGGGAGTGCCCAGCCCAAGGGCTGTGGTTTCCAGCTGGACTGAAGCTCTGCACCTCCAGACCAGCTCCTGTCTGTGGGTCCTGCTCTGCTTCCTCTCCACGTGCATAGTCCTCTGAGTTCTGGAAGGGAAGTACTAGTGGTGGTTCAGTCTCCTGGTGCTCCTGTAACAGAAATGCCATACGCGGGGCTTCAATGAGCAGGATGTATTTCCTGCCAGTTAGGAGGCCAGAAGTCCAGATTCAGGGCACCAGCGCGCAGGGGGGACTGTCTCTGTCGGCTCTGGGCAATGGGTCTTGCCTCAGCTTCTCTAGCCGGCAGACCTTGGAGGTCCTGTGCTTGCGGATTGCTCGGCCTGTGTGGTCTTCAGATAGTGGGGGTCTCCCCCTGTGTCTGCCTTCTTTTGTGCCTGGTCTGGCCTTTTTTGTCTCTGAAGTGGTTAGCTTAAGACACACCTGACACTGAGGTGACCTCATTAAACTGACAGAAAATCCTGTTCCCAGTGGGATCACATCCACAGGGTAGAGTTAGGATTCCCATGGGGATGCAGTTTAGCCCATAACAGCCCCATGCTTGGTGAGCAGAGGCACTGGGCAGGTATGTGCGTGTGTGTGCTCGTGGCTGCTTGTGGTTTCCCTCAACTCCACCGCAAACATCTGCTCATTTCCTGACTCTTAAGTGTTTAGTTTGCTGAGGTTCCACTGTTGTGTATGCCCTTGTAGCCAAACCACAAATGATATGGGACGTATCCATCACCTCAGAACATTCCCGCATGCCCCATACCAGTTTTCAGCTTACATCAACATAGATTAAGTAGGTGAGACGAAGTCTGGCCGTTCTCGCTTCTAAGGAGCGTTCCAGCTGCATTTCTTCCAGGACAGATTTGTCCGTTCTTCTGGTAGTCTGTGGTGCTTTCAGTGTTTTTTACCAACACTGTAATTCAAAGACACCAACTCTTCTCGGTCTTCCTTATTCATTGTCCAGCTTTCACATGCATCTGAGCCAACTGAAAAGTCATGGTTTGGGTTAGGCGTACCTTAGTCTTCAAAGTGACATCTTTTCTCTTCAACACCTTGAAGAGGTCTTTTTACAGCAGATTTGCCCAGTACAATACGTGTCTGATGTCTTGACTGCTGCTTTCATTGGTGTTGATCGTGGATCCAAGTAAAATTAAATCCTTAAGTTCATTCTTTCCTCTGTTTATCATCATGTTGCTTATTGGTCTAGTTGTGAGGATGTTCGTTTTCTTTATGTTGAGGTGTGATCCATCTTCACTTTATTTATTTTTCATTTTTATTGTGATTTGGGTGAAATTTTCCCCTGACTGTCTCCTTGTGCAGACATTGCTCTTCTGTTCTCCCATGATTGACCGCTCTAAGGAGTTGTCAGCATTTTCAGGAAGCAAGGTTGTAGCATTTGTGTATCACAGGTTGTTAGTAACTCTTCCTCCAATCCTGACGCCATGTTCTTCTTCCTATAGTCTGCTTCTAGACTGTATGCTCAGCATACAGATTGATTAAGTGTGGTGAAAGGATACAACCCTGACATACTCCTTTCCTGATTTTAAACTACGCAATATCTCCTTGTTCTGTTCAAACAACAGCCTCCTGGTCTATGTATAGGTTCCTCATGAGTACAATTAAGTGTTCTGGACTTCCCATTCTTCTCAACGTTATCTATAATTTATTACAATCTGTGTAGCTGAATGCCTTTGCAAAGTCGATAAAACAAAGGTAAACATTTTTCTGGTATTCTTTGCTTTCAGCTAAGATCCATGTGACATCAGCAATGATATCCCTCGTTCCACGTCCTCTTCTGAATCCAGCCTGCATTTCTGGAAGTTCCCTGTCAATATACTGCTGCAACCATTTTTGAATTGTCTTCAGCAAAATTTTACGTGCATATGATATTTATGATGTTGTTGTTGTTAGGTGCTATCAAGCCAGCTCAGAGTCATAGCAACCCTATGTACAACAGAACAAAACACTGCCTTGTCCTTAGTAACAAATCAGACAGGGTTTCACTGCTATTCATAAGGTGTTCACTGGCCAATTCCTTGAGAAATGGATGGCCCCTTCCTTCTTCTGAGTCTGTCTTAGTCTGGAAGCTCCACTGAAACTTGTCCACCATGGGTGCCCCTACTGGTATTTGAAACACCTGTGGCATAGCCTCCAGCCTCATAGCAACATGCAGGCCACACAGTATGGCCAACTGACAGACGAGTGGTAGGATAGTCATGATGTTGTTGTTGTTGTTATGTGCCATCGAGTGTCGGACCCGACTCATAGCGACCCCTCCTTGGATTTCCGAGGCAGTATCACTACGGAAGTAGATTGCCCCATCTCCCTTCCGAGGAGTGACTGGTGGGTTTGAACTGCCAGCCTTCTGGTTAGCAGTCAAGTGCCTTAGGCATTACACTACCAGAGCTCCCTGGATATTAATGATAGTGTTGGATAATTTTCACATTCTATGGAATCACCTTTCTTTGGAATGGGCACAAATACGGATCTCTTCCAGTCAGTTGGCCAGGTAGCTGTCTTCCAAATCTCTTGGCACAGCTGACTGAGTGCCTCCAGCGCAGCATCTGATTGTTGAAACATCTCAGTAGGTATTTTGTCAATTCCTGGAGCCTTGTTCTTCTCCAGTTCCTTCAGTGCAGCTTCAACTTCTTCTTTCAGTACCATCAGTTGTTGATCATATGCTGCCTCCTGAAATGGTTGACATCGACCAATTCTTTTTGGTACAGTGACTCTGTGTATTCCTTCCATCTTTTTTTTGATGCTTCCTGCATCATTCAGTATTTTGCCCATTAAATTTTCAGTCTTGCAGTTTGAGGCTTGAATTTTTTCTTCAGTTCTTTCA